CAATAATCATGATGCAAATAAACTTTACGAATCAAACAAACAGTGAAAGATAAATACAGTTCTTTCGTGGATGAACCTTCACAAATTCCCTACTCTCAAACTAACACCAACTAATATTGATTAAAAAAAAAAAAAAAAAAATCCGCGTTCCACGCATACAATAAGCGTGTGTACCCCGAGGAAAACCCCAAGCAGTCACCGCAGAGCACTATGGAACAAAGAAACAAAGGCACTTGAAAAAAAAAATCTCGACACGAGGCGAAAGTTCAGAGGCTCGGCCATTGTCGTGCATTTGTATCTACTTAAATTCACACTCACTTTATACATTTTTTCACATGCCGGGTTGACTGATTATTGCAAGTACGTATATAATACGGGATTATCAGATATGCTTAATTGTTTCGTTTAACGTGTCTTTCGAACGAAACGCCAAGATCTGACTAATGTGAGTAAGCGGATGCAATATACACGGTGTGCTGTGCAGTCTCTCTTTTCCTCCATTGTCTTTGAACGTGTAAAATTAGCTGCGAACGAAATTTTTCCTTTGGTATTTTTTAACTTGTTTACTTTCACTTGCATGGCACTGGAATACACGTAAAATATGTCTCGGTCATTGACTGTTTCATTAAAGAATGTTAACAAAAATTAAAATTAAAAGAAAAAAACACGTACACTTTATTGAAAAATTCTTCAAAATTCCTCACGTTACCCACGAGCCGTACCGACACTGTATAATCACTTATACTTGTGTACGAGGAACATGGACCCGATTAGAGAAACTGAAACCACGCTTGGACACATATTTTTCGAGCACGCTCCGTTGCACGCGTAACTCGTACGAAAAGGATCGCGTTTCACCGCTAAAGGTAACCTGAGTTTAATTAAACCAATAAAGCGCAAACAAGATCTCTGTGGTGCTACTGGTTGGTGCTGTATGTGTATTGTGCGCCAGGAAGTTCGACATCTTGTTACTTATTACATGGGTGTGCATATTCGTTGTACGGACGGTTATCTGCTCGAGGTAAATTGGATGTAGAAAGTCCCGAGCTGAACGTACAAGTGGAAATTGTGAAAATTATTCGAGCCCATTCTAATGGTGTTTGAGATTAAATGGTTGACGTTCCACAAGGAATTTATTAGAAACTTATTCGGTCCCACCACGATAGTTGGATATTTATTTTCAACATTTTGATAGCTCAGTTAACTATTTACTTAGTTACAGTGATAAAGTGCTGAATTTTTTATATTTAATTAAAAATATTTTTACTGTTTACTACCACTATTTTTTTAAATTTACTAATAATTGTTAGTTTCCTAAGCTACGTTGTGATACCTCAGAGGCAGGAGGATATATCACTGAATTATGGGTCAGTAGTTACAGCACTGGATTTAAGATGAAAATAATAATAATAATAATAATAATAAACGATCAATTGGTATACTCGTACTGGCTACTTTAGCGCCAAAGATACAGTGCTGGAGTCGAATTTAAAAGATTAGCAAGAGCCTGTAGAGGAAATGTGTGCACGTGTGTATATGTGCGAGCGCGACAACAAGGAATTAACGAGCCGTAATGGGTGGTGACCTTCGCTTCGAAGCGACACATTTTTATACGCTTGTAGGCTTGCAGTGACGTTTAAATAGGTATATATATATATATTTTTACCCACGTGTGTATGGCAGTTCAAGTCTGGGGATTGCGTAAAAGTTGCGAGGAAAAAATATTAAGGCATCATCTTTATTTTTTTCTCTTTTTTTTTTTTTTTTTTTTTTTTTTTTTTTTTTTTTTTTTTTT